ATATTCAGATACCAATATTGAAAATTCTGTTTGATGAACAAAAAAAAAATTGTTCTTATATTTGAGACATTATTCTTTCAGAATTGTTTACAAGTCGATAGACATTTACACAAGTGGCTACCAGAAGATCAATTTTAGACATAATAGAATTAATAAAAGATCAAGAAAAATTATTGAACTTCTTGACAGATACAATGACTTTTCGAAAACAAAAATTTGTATCAAACCCTACAGAAAATTTAATTTATTAAATCTCTATTGAGTTTAATAGAAAAGATTACAAGTCTTTTGCAAGAGCAACTGTCTGCTATTTCCTTGTTTACATTAAATTAAGTGCTCAGATGTGAATTCGATGTGTTATGACGAACATTTTTTTTTTCAGATAAAAGAAAAAGATAAGATACTCATCAAGGAATTCTTCAACTGATAAATTGTTTTTGAGTCAAGACTATACGCACTTTGCAGACTCAAATGATCTATAAGTAGTCTAAAAAAGAGTTCATACTCATAGTTTATTGCTGTGAAGATATCACATTCTTAAATTTCGACTTGAAAATTTCTATAGAGATAGACCTTAACAAAAATAGTTTATTGTCGAAGTTTCAGATCTTTTGATTTGCTTCTATCCTAAAATAAGAACATTAATTCTATTGGTTTATATGAACGATGGAAAAGACATGCAATTATCATAGTTATATCTTAGAATAGGAACAGCGATAAGATCTGAAACATTCACATTAAGGCGTGTCCTTTGCAAATTTTCAAATTAAAATTCGGAAATCAGTTTTTCTATTATCACGACATTCATTTAAAAAAATTCAATAGCTCCCCAGCAATTAGCTAAGGTTGCAAACTCTGTTTAGGGTATTCATAGCTCATTTGGGTTTACATAATGCACACAGTCTTGATTTAATAGTAATTTATTGGTTAACTCTTTCCGGCCGACTATTTAAAAAATGCCGTACCCCTATAGGGGAAAATGTTGTCATTTGACAACATCCGGCCGGAAAGGATTAAAGGATTTCTCAAGTGAAATTACTGTTATTAACATACCGAAGCAGATGTTCAACACCAACTTCTTCAGCTTCTTCTGCACCTATTTCTGATGGTAAATGTTCAAATGTTTTTGATGCTGGACTACCATCCTATGAAAAAAAATCTTCAAATTAATAATTTTTAAAGATAAAACAAAATTCTTACATCATGAATTTCTTCAACAGCAATATAAGCCTCCGTCGGTAAACCTAAATCTTTTGGTTTAGCATCAATGATAACAAGAACTGAATCAGGTTGATATTCTCGAATTAATTCATTTATTGATATATCATTTCGATGTAATTTTGGACCTGTATGATACCATCCAACAATACGTTCACGAGCTAAAATTTCGAAAATTTCATTAATATAAAAATTTCAAAATTTTTCTTTTTTACCATTAACTTTTCTAAACATAGTATACATATTTTCCAAATATTCATGATCAAGAAACCAAACTTCTTTTTCTTTCTCTTCTTCATCAAATGGTACTAAGAAACGAAAAAAACAAAAAACAAAAAACATAAGAAAAATAATAGATTCAAAATTCTTACAAGCAAAACTATTTGAAATATCGAGAATTTTATTTTTAAGTGAACCAAGTAATATTCCCACAACACGTTGTGAATTTCCTACTTTACCCATACGATTAAAATGATCAACAACACTAAGAAGAACAAGTGGATGAACAACAACTTTCTCAATTTTATTTAATGGAGATATTGTTAATGAAAGATTTTTATCTAGTGATGAACCATTTTCATTTGAATTTTGTTCATCACCAGTTGTCTTAGCCGATGTTGTTGTTGCTGGAGGTGGCATTTTGTTGAATCTCAAATGAATAAACTATAAATGTTATTTTATTTGACTATTAATAGATGTCAGATGATTCAGTTACGACTAATAATTGGATAGAGCAGTTCACCAATGAAATAAAATCTTTTCTTTTCGTCTTCTTACGTCGTCTGTTAGCAATTCATAGCTATGATAATGCCGTTGGAATCAACAGATGGTCTCCATGGAATATCATAAGATATTGATTCTACTTTACAACTTATATATGAAAGCCATTAAGTGATTGCAACAAACATAAGAAATTGAAAGATTAATGATATTAAATTTAATGAAATAATATAGAACAATAAGAAATACATCTATTTTTGTGACAGTTTTATTATCAATGAGTATGATTTTCTGTTGTAAAAAAAAGCAAACTTTAAGGGAATCTCCTTTGTGACACTTTTGATTTTAGGAAGATACGCCTCAATGAGTAGAGCAAAAGCTGTCTTTCAATCAAACTTAGTGCTCGTTGCATTGTTTTCAAATCAGATGGGCTCGAATAATCTGAGAAATGTGTTGGGTGCTCTAGTTATTGAATACAAAAAGTCGGAAAAAAGTAACTTTTATCTTCAGGACGACTGTCTAATTTCGATTAGAGAATTTCATTGAGAATATTAAAGCATGATTTGGATTCGACAGGCTCTGTCTGCAATAGAAAATAATGTTATAAGTGTTATTTAAGTGAGAAAAGAAGATAGCATAAATTTGATGAGAAAATAAAAACATTAGAATTGTTGTGCTTATTAAACACAATAGATTTTGAATTATGTTTTGATGATTGTAATAAAAAATTCGAAGGAAATATTTTAATAGAGGATAGTTCTTATTTCGAGGATAAAAAAAGAATAAAAATTGAGATTTTAATCATATTTGTTTTGTCTTTTACTATATATGATGATGGAACGTTTGTAATGTTTTCTATCTAGTAACACAAAAAATTTCATACTCTGCTTTTCTTTTTTTTTTCGTATATGTCTTTTTGATCTTTTTCTTTCTCATTTGTTTTTCACTAACTTTATAATATATATGCAAATGACTTTTAACAAGAATTATAAAACGAATTCAAATAAGAATATTGAAATATAACGAATAACAACAATAAAAATGATTTCAACAAACAAAACGAATATAGTTATTAAGAAGGATTATCTAGATCGTTCTTTGAAGCATCAAGAACATTGAATATGAGTTGTTCAGAGAATATCAACTGATTTCATAGCAAACTTGTATTACTCTTGCGAAATTTCTGAATGGTTAATTCATTTATTGATCCTGTCCTTATATGGAACATTAATTCAAGTAATCATTGATAATTTATACAAGAAATTCTTTCGCGTGCATTATTTCATTCCAACATATCTGGTTGTAGCAATGTCATCGATTATATTTAAAATTGGAAATTCTAAGCGAAAGCAAGTTGCTCTTGTTAGATGAGTCCATACATGCGTAAATACGTTTTCAAGACAACATACTAGAATTGCAAATGACATATCAGTATCTTGATTAAGATCGACAAGTTCAAATATAGTTCCGATCTCGAGGATTATTAGTAGTCTTTTTTTTCTATCTTGTTGTCAGCAATATCTAAATGAAAAAAAGATACTTACTAATTTCTTGCGTATTTATTGTATGTACTATATTTGTCTATCTTACTTATACAACTAGATGGCATTTGATTTTCACTCAAATACGAAATAAAGTGCGAAGCATGAAATCTCGATTTTTGCAAAGAACGAATAATCGACTTCATGATTTGTCAGACATCATTTTTTTAATAACGATATTTACATTTCACTGAAATCAGCGTTTTTACTGTACCTGTGAATCCTAAAATTTATGGTTCGACTGATCACCTAATAAAAATCTGAAAGATATGTAAAGTAACTATTGCGAAGTTCATCACTATGATAGCTCAATCAACGCGTAAAAACCTATTTCTAAAAAATACTACCGATTCATCATCGAATTATCTATATGATTCATTATTTATAGTTAGCTGTTTTCACAACTGTAATGGACAAAAACAGCTTATTGAATAGACTGGCAGCTAACTTTTGTTGCTGTTTTGATTCTAACCACTTCAAAATTTAAAAAACAACAAAGTTCGCAAGAAGAAGAATGGACTGTTATAAGCGAAATTCTCCGTACTCCGTATAAAATTCAATTTTATTTCACATGTTTTGGCATTTTGACGGTTAGAAGTCTTTAACTGATAAAATCAGACCTTTTAATTCATATTATATGTTGTCACATTTAATCTGATCTTTTGTATCAAGATACAACAAAGATTAATTGAACACATTTATTGCTTAATACTACGCATAGCATATAGCCTCAATCTGTCGGACTGTAGCCGTCAGTATTACTGGTAGATTCATCTTTTTTTTTTCATTTATCGCTATGACTAAAATCCATATTAAAATAACAGAAATCAATCTGATTAAAATACCTGATTAATTTTTTTCTGAGGATCTTTTTATACTTTGAATGCAACGAATATTAATTTTTTGACTTGTTGGGTCCTGATGAATAATTTATTAACTGACTTTGTCGAAATAAATACAGCATATCTAGATTAATAATAAATTTTCTCGTGTTTTACTACCTATTATAGGCAAGTACTGTTGTCATTTAACTGCGAGATTCACAATAATAAAATCCAAGCACATATCTCTGATGGTTTCTGATGACAAACGACTTATGTGATATGCTTAGAATTCAAAATGAAAATAATTGAAAACGCGAAAGTAAAGCATTTCTTTATATATAACAATTATAATAAATAAGGTAGATGATTTTTTTTCATTTTTGGCTTCATATCACGAAGTTTTCAGAAAAAAAAACCGAAAAGTTGAAGTCTTCTATATGTCATCGAATATTTACGTAATCTAGTAATAATACAGCAATCTAAATTGTCATTATTATCATCATTTTTCCGTATTCATGTATATATAATTTATGTAAAGAACGTTCATTCTAATTAATAATGTTTCTATAATGATTATTTATTTCCAAGAACGTATAACACAGTAAGTATGATTTAAAAAAAAAGAATACAGAGACAGTTTCAATGAACACATTCGTATTTTATCTTCAATAAATGAAGATAACAAAAACATCCTTCATTAGTCACTTGCGGTTGGTGTTGTTCGTTTTGTTCGATAAGCAACTTTTAATTGTGTATTTTTAAGTTTTAATGATGAACCAAGTTTAATAGCAGCAGCTGCTAAATTATCATCAGGAAAAGTAACAAAAGCAAAAGCGGGTCGAACACCTGTCTTATTTGTTTTAGCTGGAGTTAATTCGATTTTAGTTGATTTTGGAAAAAGTTTTTTTAAATCAGATTCTTCAACATTTTCAGGTAATTGACCAACATATATTGAATCAGTTAAAGTTTGTATTTCTATGAAAAACGAACATAATAAATAAAGAAGAAAAGAGTCATGTTCGACATGAACCTGGTTTAGTTTGTTGTTTTTTATTTGTATTCTCTGTTGGTGTTGTTTGTTTTTTCTTTTCCAAATTTTTATTTGAATCAGTAGCTGTTGGTTTTGTTTGTTTATCTTGTTTTGCAAATGCATAAAATATATTAACTTTTTCACCACCGATATGTGTATGAGCTTTTAATGCATCACTACAATCTGATTCGTTTTCAAATGTAACAAAAGCAATTCTAAGAAAAATACAAAAATAATAGGAATTGAAAATCTTAATAGATCAAAACATACTGCATTATTTTATGATTTGGACCAACTTTTCGTTTTTGCATTTTAACTGAGTTTGCGTTTGGATAGAGAGATTTCATATCCGATACAGTAATACTTTCTTTTATTGAATTTATATACAATTGAGTTTTATTAAGTGGTTTAGTTGAAGTTTCTTGTTTGATTGCTTCACTTCCACCTTTTTGTTTATTTTGTACTGGTGTTGGTTTAGATTCAGATGCTGTCGTTTTGGATGTTTGATTTTGTTTTGGAGTAGTAGGAGTTAATGGTGATTGCTTTAATCCAGATTTAAGTGGTGGCGAAGCAGTTTCTTCTTCGTCGTCATCCTGTAAAAATTTAGTTTTGAACAAAAAGCAAATATATGATTTTAACTTACATCATCATCGTCATCATCATCATCATCATCATCATCCTGTATGAATAAATGAGAAGCTGATGTCCAAAAAGAAAGTGACTAACTTACATCATCATCATCATCGTCGTCGTCCTCATCTTCAAAAGCTTGTGGCGGTTTGGTCTAAAGGTTAAAATGACTTGTTTGAGAAAAAAATATTTTGATTTGTTTTTACTTGTTTTGAAGACGGTTTTGATTTGAAGATAGATTTTGTTGGTTCTTTTACATTATCATCGTCGTCCTGAGAAAAGAACAGTAGTTATTATACCATCAAGTGTATTTTGACTAGAGATTTGGTAAAACTTCGATTGGTATCAGAAGCAGAATCATGATTAAATGAGACTCTATTGTAGAACCTTGATACAGTTCTTTTAGCTTTTCTACGTACTGATTCATCGTCATCGTCGTCGTCATCGTCATCATCACTATCATCATCATCTTGAGCAAAAGATGTTTTGACAGCATTTTTCATCTAAACATATTAGTCAACAATTAAGAGGTAGTCATTCCTTTAAGCTCACTGGTTTTCCAGTAGATGATGGTTTGATGACAGACTTTTTTTGTGTTTCTTCTTCATCATCGTCATCGTCATCATCATCATCATCATCTTCGGAAGATGATGGCGTTTTAGCAGTAGATTTAGTCTAAAAGTTAGAATGATTTGTTTGAGAAAACTATTTTGATTTTCTCTTACTTCTTTTGACAAAAGTTTTGTTTTGAGGATGGATTTTGTTGGTTTTTTTACATCATCATCACCATGCTGAAAAACGAACAGTGATTATTGTAATATGGAGAGTATAAATGTTCAGGAGTATTTTGACTTCAATTTTGGTAAAACTGGAAACTAAATTCTATAACAGTCCTTATAGGACTTTCATGGGATGCACCAGGAGACTCATAATTGAGGCCTCATCCTCAAAAATAGTTGATTTTTGTGAAAAACATGAAAATTGAGATATATAAATGTGAGATAGTCCAAGCTCTGACCTTCCATAACTGACATGACTTTTTTTTATTTCGCAATTTGTTTTTTTTTCATAAATTTTTCATCGTTTTTGCACTTGAAAAATCTGGTTTTTTCGATCATGCAGCCCAGAATTCTCAAAGGAGCTTCGCTGTAGTCAATGGCTTTTACACTATTATATGACAGACTACTTTTATAAATAAAGCGTCATTTTTGAGAGTCTTTCGAGACATTGATCTTCTCTCCGCTTGAAAAAAAAAGATGTTAAACAAAAAGGTTCTGTCATGCTCTGCATTCTTAAAAAGATTAAATCTGTACAATGAAGGATCACAGAGAATTTCAGATTACCAAATGAGCTATTTTAGATCCTTTTTAATAGAATATATGCCGAAAAAATTATGATATAGGACTGAAAATTTCCTGTGATTTAAATGTATTTAGGCCAGTATCGATTTTCGATGGTGCCTTACAAGGAACACTATTGTATACTATTGATGCAAAGTTTATTTTTGCTTCTCGACTTACTGATTCATCATCATCACCTTGAAAGGACGACTTGGGGATAGGTTTAGTCTAGAACCTTCAATGATTAATTTGAGTAGAGTCATTGTTAAAACTTACTTGTTTTCCGGTAACAGGTGGCTTAATGACAGACTTCTTAGGTATTTGTTCTTCTTCGTCGTCATCATCATCATCATCTTCGAAAAATGATTGTTTGACGACAGGTTTAACCTACAAATTTGAAGGATTACTTTGACTAATATTCTTGTTCCCACTCACTTGTTTTCCAGTAGCAAATGGCTTAACGGCAGGCTTCTTAATTGTTTGTTCTTCTTCATCATCGTCATCGTCATCATCATCATCATCGTCATCATCATCATCATCGTCGTCATCATCTTCTTCTTCGAAAAATGATTGTTTGGGGACAGGTTTAACCTACAAGTTTCAATGACTACTTTGATTAATACTCTTGTTCAAACTCACTTGTTTTCCAGTAACAGATTGCTTAGCTACAGGCTTCTTAATTGTTTGTTCTTCTTCATCATCGTCATCATCATCATCATCATCGTCATCGTCATCATCGTCGTCATCGTCGTCATCATCATCATCGTTATCCTCATCATATTTAGTTCCTTTCCCTTTCAAAACATTTTTATTTACTACAGGAATATTTTTACCACGCGTTGAAGTATCAATCTTAAGTTTTTTTGCTTGAGGACCTACAAGAATGCAGTAAAGCCATAATTCTACAAATAACAAAAAAAAACTAACTTGATTTATCAGCAAAATCCACTGATCGTTTTGGAGGCTTGGATAATGTTGGTATATCAGAAGCTGTTTTTTGATCTAGAAATAATTCGAATGTAATATAAATGATAAATTGAGTAATATTGACACACCAGGCTTTTTTTTCTTTTCAGATGAATTATTGATCACAGGTGATTTAGTAAGTGGTGATTTGCCTTCTGTTTTAGCTTGAGTGATAGTTGAAGTCTGTTGTTTAGATGATAGTGGTGGAGTTTTTTGTAATTTAGATGGTTTTTCATCTTCATCCTCTTCCTACAACAAAAGCAGATTTTATGTTTTAAAGATAAAATCATTAAATATTTACATCATCATCATCGTCGTCGTCATCATCATCATCGTCATCCTGAAAGAATATTATAAGTAAAAGGTTCACATTAAAATCAATATATACCGATTCATCATCGTCATCTTCAACTTTTTTACCAGCTGCTGATTTTGAAGGTACCGATTTTCCTCCACCAACCATTTTAGCAACAGTTTGTTTAATTTTTTTTTGTTGTTCATCATCTTCATCCGATTCATCATCTGAATCATCTTCGGTATCAAAATCTATCTAAACAAATATTTAAATACATTATCGTCATGATTTCAACAAGCGATATCCGTTACTTACAGATTCATCATCATCGTCATCATCTTCATCAGAGTCGACGGATATTTTTCCTTTTCTTTGCATGTTATTATTAGCTGCCAAGCCTTTTCCTTCAGATGTATCACTTTTGAGTTTTTTCGCTTTTGGACCTATTTGCAATTAAAGGTTTTATGTATTATTTATTTCAAAAACATGATGAACATATCAAAGTTTATACTATAGGGTGGTCCATAAGTAACTTCACGATAAAAAATCTGAATATCTATACTTTATAGAGCTAATCTTTTTTTCATAACAAATTTCTATCATTCACAATGTTGAAGATGGCCATAAGGGATCTGTGTATGCATGCATTCGTCTTTCGATAGCTATATTCGATTGCATATCTCGTTGTGCAATTGTTTTCTCTCTCTCGCTGCCGATATAGATACCTGTGTCTTCTTCAGTACAATGTAGTGAAACCGAGCGGTAATTTGACTATAGATGTTGATGCTGATTTCCATCAAAATTCGGAAAAAATATATTTCAAGATTTTAGATTCATGTTATGACCTATAAAGTTACAAAGTTCTCATGAAAAAAGAATTAGTCGCATAGATTATAGATACTTAAATTTTCTATCGTAAATCTACTTATGAATCACTCCATATACTAAGAATTTATCAAATACATTCATCCAAAAGCAAAGTTCAAGTAATCAATTATTATTTTCATCACGGTCCATCGACTTCGAGTCTGAAAATTTTGAGCGGGATAAGCTCTAGTGTCTATTAACATGTCTTAATCTAAATTTTATGGCGACGAGCATCACTTTATATATTTTGTGTTTGATTTCGAAATAAATGATTACCTGAATTATCATTGGTATTTGACGATCGTTTTTGTGGTTCAGCTCGTTTAGTTTGAAAGGCTACTTTAAGTTGAGTATTTTTAAAACTAGCTCCCTGTTTAACAGCAGCTGATGCTGAAGCATCATCCGGAAACGAAAGAAAAGCATGACTAAAAAAAACAGTAATTGATCAAATTTAAAAAATAACGAATTAGAAGAAAAATTTACCCAGGTCTGTTTCTTTCAGCTGGAGTTAATGTTACATTTTTTGCTTTTGGAAAAAGTTTTTTCAAATCATTTTCTTTAATATCACCAGGTAATTGACCAACATAAATACTATCTGTCATAAATTCACGTTTTGTATCGCCGAATTTTCCTCCACCACGATTTCCACTTTGAAAACCACCACGATTTCCACTTTGAAAACCACCACGATTTCCACTTTGAAAACCACCACGATTTCCACTTTGAAAACCACCTCGATTTCTACCTTGAAAACTACCTCGACTTCGATCTCGTCCACCGCCACGTTTACCACCACGATTTCCAAATCCGAAACCACCACCACCGCCTAGAATAAAAGACAAAAGTAAAATTCTTTTTTTATAATCACGTTTTTTTTTACCTCGATCACCACCACCCCCACGTCCACGTCCACGTGATTGTTGTCGATTAGACATGAATTTCCACAAAACAAAAACAGATGATGATTAATCTATAAGATTTAATTCATAAAAATTAAATCAATGTCAATTGTGGTCTATATTTTTTAAACCAGACACGAACGAAAAAAAATCAAAATTCGTTCGTGACATATCAAAACAGGTAGATAAAAATCACACGGGGCAAAAAATGAGGGATAAAGATATATGATAAAAAAAAGACTAATATTGTTGAGCTTCTTTCAACCAATCAAGAAGTTGTGGTGTAAAATAAGTGATAAGAATATCGGCACCAGCACGTCTCATTCCAATTAAACTTTCAATAACTGCTGCTCGTAAATCAAAAGCATTCGCATGTGCTGCATGCCATAACATTGCATATTCGCCTGATACTTGGTAAACAGCTAATGGATGATGAGGAAAACGTTGTTTAACTTCTTTAATTATATCTAAGAAAGGGCCACCTGGTTTAACCATTAACATATCAGCTCCTTCAATAACGTCACGTTCAGCAGCTCGTATAGCAAGACCAGTAGATACAGCAGGTAATTGATAAGCACGACGATTACCTGATGATGGTGCTGATTGAGCAGCATCACGAAATGGACCATAAAAACATGAAGCAAATTTTGAAGAATAAGACATAACTGCAACTGAACTTCCTATGTTATTAGTTAATAAAATTTTTTTTATTGCATCTATTCGTCCATCCATCATATCGGATGGAGCTATAATATGTGCACCATCTTGAGCAAAATTAAGTGCTATTTCAGCTAAACGTTCAATTGATGATAGATTATTAATTGTACCATCGGTTTTAAGTATTCCACAATGGCCATGTGATGTATAACCACATAAGCAAAGATCCACAGCTATGGTTAATGATGGAAATTTTGAACGAAGCATTGGTAAACATCGTCGAACAGGTGATTCTTTTGATAATGCATATTCACCAGTTGGGGTTTTATTTGAACTTTTTGTTACACCAAATATAAGAATTGTTTTTAAACCTTTGTTAACCAATGGTGATAAATGATCAATGAGGGCATCAACACCATAACGGCGTTGTTCAGGAAAATTAGGAATTTCTTCGCTCGATTCATCTGGGACAAGATCAGTAACAAATACTGGATAGATTAATTGATTTATATTCAGTAATGTATTTGAACCATGCCATGAACGAAGGGTTTCATTAAAATAACCGCTGTGTAAGATATGATTTGCCTCCATTAATCGATAAAAGAATTAGCAAAGAGATTCACTCAATACATTATCAAACCGAATTCAATAAACAAAGAACCAGGTGTTGGTAAATTCATAACGACCAATCAAAATTTAATGAGGCTTCATTTTTTATGTCTTTATTCGTATATGAAGAAAAAAAATCAGAATATACTGTACATATTTTCGTTCTAATATATATCTGATTTGTTGAAATATTGAGAATATAGGTCTTTTATAGTCACCAAGATGTCGCTGGTTATTGATATTTTTTCATATGCTTCACATAATCATTGTCATTTGATACTAAACTCAAATATGAATAAACTGAATTTAATATAAACAAAAATATATATAAAAGTAATCAATTGCATTCTATTATCCATGAATATTTCACTTGAACTGACTAAAACTTCTTTTATTAAGAAAGACAAAACTTCTAAAGAGCAATCATCAATATTTTGTTCCGATATTACCGTTTGTATAGTCATGTTTGGTGCAATTTCTCCTTCATATATCTACAACAGTAGGCTTGCAAACAGAATATGATGTTGATTCTCTCTATATATACAAACAGTCCCATAAATACTAGGTCTCAACAATATCTATATGAGCTTCATATACTTATAGGACGATATTTCAAATAACATCATCCGTTTTTTATTAAAGTGACATGAACGAAAGAAATGTGATAATTAAAATCTCGAAATTGATCGGCATCAGTTTTAAAAATCAAAAACAAAATATATTTTATTTAGTAGAAGCACATGTTAATCTAACAACAGAAAATAATCTCGCATACATTTTCAACTGATCACACAATCGGAAATTTCGTATCTCTATCTTAGGGTAGAACTCTTGCAATAAATAATTCATCAATGAGTTTATAACATAAATCGTTGTTCTATGTTTTTAATCTTGACTGTCTTGAAGTAGAACATATTCTCTGCAAACTTTATAAATTCTTTTAAAATCCACTTCTTTCAAAAATTTTGCATATAAGTTAAATGATGACGCCAATAGTTGCTCATAATATTTGTTAGAGAAGCGATCTAAATATTAGGTATTACTTTGTAAAGTGTGTTATGTTACACACGATGGACATTTGTTCATTAGAATATCGTTTAAAAAACTTCAAGTCTATTTCAAGATTTTAATTATTACGTTTCTTTTCTTTATAACACTATTATTAAAATAGATAATCTTACGTAAAACATCATTCTAGGTACTCAAAGTTTATAAAGATATTGTTAGGTAAGGATCATTCTGTATAATACAATGATTAAGATGAAACTGCTCGAAATTTTTAAGTGTATTGAAACAAACAAAACATAACTATATTTCAATTATCGAAGTTTGAATAATGTGTATAAAATTATTAGCAAAGAAAATGTTTGATGAATAAATAATTTAATATGAATTCGTTCCAATAATAGTTTGTTCTTCAGCAAGATTTGGAAATACTCGGCTAACTTTTTTCAATAAATAGTCTCCATATGTTCCAGAAAATGTATGCACACTTGCTTTATCCCATCGATGTTCAGCATCATCATCATCTACTGTTGTTATTCCTTCCATAGGTATAGGTAATACTTGAGTATCCCAATTAGGATCAAGAAAAAATGGAAATGATAATCGATCATGCGATGGTGATAAATTACGTACACGATGTGGTGTTGATCTATAATATCCACCTGTCATTCTATCAAGCATATCGCCAATATTACATATAAATGTATTAGGTATTGGTGGTGCGTCTATCCATTTATCATGATTAATTTTCACTTGTAAACCTCCAATATCATCTTGTAATAAAATTGTTAACATACCATAATCAGTATGTTCACCAACACCCCATAAATTTTCATTTCCTTTCTGTTGACAAAATGAAGCTGGATAATTAAATATACGAAATAGACAAGTGGGTTCATTAAGAAAATAATTTTTATCAAAAAAATTTGCATCTAATTTAAGTGAACGTGCAAGACCAGACATAATTATTCGGCCAAGATTTTCCATAGTTGTCATATAAGTTAATATAACATGACGAAATTCATTTTCATCATCTCCAATAGGAGGAAATTGATTTCGTCCATGTAATGGTACTTTATTATGAACTTTTGGATGATTATCATCATCAATTTCTGTACCAAAATAAAGACCTTCTTTACCATCTGGTTTTCCACTTGTTAATTCATTACCAACGGGAAAATAACCACGCCAAGCTCGACCACCTTTACTCATTGCTATTTGCATTTTATTTTCTAATGGTAATGAAAAAAATTTTCGACTAAATTCAATTAATTCTTCCTGTAATTTCATGGGGATACCATGATTTTTAACATAGAAAAAACCCCAGGTACGACATGCCTGATGAAGTTGTGCAGCAGTTTCTTGTTGATGAATATCATTTGAATCATTAAGGAGCAATGGGCCTATATCAATAATAGGCAACGATGTTTGAGCTTCAGTCATTTTATGTTATTCTATTACTGTTGATGTTGTTTTTTTTCATGTGCGCATACCTATCTTATCTATCAGTGCTTATATGCAGAATGAAAAAAAAAAGCATTAATTACATTTTTTTTCTATCATAACTCGTTTTGCCAAAGAATAAAAGAAAACAAATACTTTACCCCTTTTTGTTCTCAATATTATTGCAACATAACAAAATATTATCATGAGATATTATAACGTTATTAAACATACCAATCATACTTGACTCTTCGTTTCTATTAATAATAAATTGTGAATTTATTGCACTACAGTTATTTGTTAATGACCAACTATAATAACTGTAGTTATCAATAGATTTTTACTTTTTATGTCATTTCGAAGAGTAAACTAGATTATTTTAGAGAAAGTTGAAAAACATTTTGTCGTTTATGATGTATCGGAAACATCGATCATGAAATTAACTTAAGTAAGCCATGAATTACTGGTTGTCTCGAATCATCATTTCGATAGCATGCTGACTACGTTGTGACATAGATGAGAACTTGCCACTATTATGTAATTAGTCAGTGTATTTGTGAAGTTCAAACGATTGAGCGAGAGAGTTTTGTATTGAGCCAGTCTTCTTTATAGAGCTGCAGTTAGTATCAGTTGTAAGGACGATAATATCGAACTGATAAAACTAGCTCTATGCTGCACCTTATATCGTAAGGTAATCGAAATAGGTAGAGGCATTCTTTCATATGACATTCATTGATATAAATGAGAAAAATTCAAAAGTTTCCTTGTATGGCAATTTTGAAAATGGTTTTCTTAATAGTTATCATTACTGCAACAATGACATAAATTGATTTCAATGAATTAACAAGCAACAGTTTCAAGTGTAAGATAATGTGAATGTTTTTGCAAATTGCTTTATAATTCTTTCAATGCACTAACAAGAACATGCTATGTTTTGACAATGAGAAAAATTAAATGATAATTTCTCATCAAATAATACATGTACTTCATTTATAGTTTTTCAAAAAATAGAGTATGGATGTGCGTGGATGGGTGAGATGTTGATAATGGGTGTAGGTGGGAGAAAGTTATCTCTTCATGTTCACTCACATTCAAAACCAACATTCATACCTGCATCCTTTATGATCAATTTTATGCGAACAATTTTGAGACAACCATATCAGTAAATTTTGAAATGGGACATATATATGACCAGTTAATAAATTATTCTATGGAACTGAAACATTTTTCAAATATCATTAATATCGATCAGAAAATTTTTTCCTGATGATCGAGAATTACTACTTTGAGTTATCATATCACTGATTGCAATAACAAGTTCCAACGTTTACCTTAGATTTTCTACTTTTTGTCTATTTGAATCGTCGTTATCATTGTTAATTAGGTATTAAAAGATTTTCTAATAAATGCATGCATTTCGTTCTAAAGAAAGCTCTCAGTATGAACTCTAAAATTGTAGAATGCAGGCATCGAACTGTAAGATTCGATATGCTTGTGAATGATCTACCGGTGCAGATGATGTGTATGGATGTAAAAAGGACTCAAACTCAAATCTATATTTATCTACACCTGCAGCTATATAAGTATATGCTTTCTCTGATTATAGTAATTAGGCTTCTCAAGGCAAATCAAGTATTTATAAATAATTATTTCATCAAGTTGTTAATATTTTGACTGATTTCCATAATACAAAGGTTGTTTTTCTCAATAAATTCGTTGAGGAAGATTTTTATAATCGACGGCTATGAGCGTGAGTGAGTTTTTCCTTCATTCACACTCGAACCTACCATAAATTTTTAAAAATGTCTATTAAATATTGATTAGCATTTGGCATCAATGCATTTATATCAAATCATCATATTATTTGAAATAGAAACAAGCAACTTTCTAGTTTTTAGATTATGAAAATCCATAATTTACTTTATTTCAATTTCTCCTACTTCGCATGAACCTACTTTTATTAGATGCTCTTTCTTATGGTGAAGAATCAAAAAGTACCATACTCAGTTACATGCACCTCTATGAGATGAGATGAGATGGAATGTTTAATAGATGCTATCTATTGGCAAACTTTTTAATCGACGTTTTAGTCGAATTTTGTATCTTGAGAAAGTGATACGGACTCTAAGAATTAATTGTTTATTATGGATGTATGATTTCTTGTATCTAAAATTTAATGATACTCTTCATTGCCGACTCCATTGAACTCAGTTGAATGTCTAACCCATAAATCTCAATGATGCCTGAATTGAAACCGACAAATCAGTTGTGTTACCTAAATGATAGACATACTTCCACTGTCTCACCGTGCACGTTTTCAATCGTTTTAGTTCGATCGATTACCTATATGAAAGTTGTATATATTTTGGCTTCTTTCAAATTTAGCGTGGTACTCTGCTACTGTAGATTAAAAATTAGCAATAGAAGAGAAATAATTACGTGCTTTATTTCATTGTTTTCGTTACATATTGTTGCTTCTTCTCCAATCAATGGACAAACAACAAGCAATTTCGTTTCGAAAAAATGATCAGCTAAATTACAATCGAATCTAATTGTGGAATTATTTTGATTTTAATTGAAGCAAATCGAGTGTGGGGATGGCTTTGAATATTTATTATCGCTTTAGCCACACTCATGCACTCCTATAGTCAATGGTCGATATAAGATAAAGTGGCTAAAGTTCTTCATTTTTCATTGCTTCTATGAATTTTTCCAGTCTAAAAATTTGGACACATTGAAAGGTTCACTATTAGCATTCTGTCGTACAAAATCTGATCGTTTGTCTTCTGTTTTTCTATAAGTTCAGATTCTACAATGTATAACTTTTTATGTCATTGAAACTGTTCGAAAATCGTCAGTAAATCATAGTTATTAAAGATGGCGCCACAAAAATAATTATTAGTTAGATGACTTGACCACCAATGATATATTTTGATGTCATCAGACACTATATTATGATGTATTTAAAATGTACTTTTTTTAGCGTTGAAATCGACCTCTTCAAGGCTGAAAATATTAATTTGATAGACAATTTATAAAAAAAATAAACTGTTCGAACCGTTGATCTTGATGAAATGTTGGCGACATAGATTCAATGACAGATGAGGCTAAACTTTTTATATACTAAAATTGCAACAGTATTTCGAAATGCAAACAATGATGTTCTTTACCTCTTGAACAAATTACGTCTAATATTCAGAATTTAAAATTAACTCCATGATACTATTGAAATTATTCGAACATTTAATTTATATGATATACTTCTGCTTAATATATAGCCAATGCTATATCATTTATCAACACAGATTATATTGTTTCTTTTGTTTATATCAAATATATACTTTTTAAAATAAGACTGAATATTTTTTATTCGTGAATAATTGTACAAAACTACAATAATCTACAAAGTTATATTAACAAACTATTTTTTTAGTTCTATGTTGATGATGATTTTAATGTTAAAGTAAGTTTCAATGGTTGTATTTTGTTTTTTTGAATTTTGTTTTCAATCATTTCTTGAATATGCGTTGGTAATGCAGGATCAATATTCATAATATAAGGTAAAATATATGTTGGTATAGGATATTTTCTAACCATTACTTTAATATAGATTGAATCATCACAAATATAAGAATTATTATCTTGTTGAATGATTGATATTGGAATAAATTTAGAAATTCCACATCCAATATTCATTTCAGCTTTAGGTCTTTGAAAACATTTTGATTCTGTATCAGATTGAAATGATTCAATGATATGATTGCTTTGATCAATTAAATTATAAAGACAAAATATAACTTGAAAATTAAATGGCCAAACAAGTATAGCATCAGAATTACCACGCATAAGAACAATAAAAATAGATATATGAGTTGATTGACCAATACCATTACCATTCACATAAAGTCGAACACACATTTTGTAACCATCTGGTGATGTATAAAATGATGGTGATGTTAACACAAATCTTATATTATCTAAACGGAAACTTATCAATAGAAAATTCAATCGAAGAATAGAACTTACTTAATTTTTTTTTAATATTATCAATTTTCCATAATAATGTACCATTAGATGGAACGATAAAATCCTGTTTTTGTTCAAAAATTTCTTCTGGAGGATTTGTTTCTTCAATACTTAATTGATCTCTCAATGTTTGAGATAAAATTTGTTCTATAATCGCTCTTAATATTTTTACATTTTTTGAATATTCACAGAATTTTTCAGCTAATTGTCGTAGTTGAAAGATTATATTATTGTTAATATTTCGATTAGTGAATGAATTTGAATGACTTTTAGTCAAATGATTCTTAAAAAATTGTATTAATAATATATATATATATAATAAACCTATATTACTTGATAGTTTTTAAATAGACCATTCCAACGACAAAGAAAACAACGTATACCTAACATTTTCATATCATTTTTCATACCTCGATCAGAAAATATCTATGTATAAAAAAACCAAACAAACAAATAAAATTTAAAATTAAAAGAAATCTTACCTTGCTTGTCGATGTTAGTATTTCACATTGATGACATTTTATATGTTCTCTATAGATAATCAATTATTAGATAATAAATTGAAAATAATTCATAATTACCTTCCTTTAATATCTATACATGATTCACAAAAGCGATGACCACAATAAAGTTGAATGGGATCTCGTAGTATTAAATTGCATATTTGACAAATAAACTTCACATCCATTCTATTTTTATTTTCACTATTAAATCCACACATGATTTAATATTAGAGTTTGAATAATAAATGAGTTAACCTTTGCAATAATTATTTAATAGAGCAACAAAAGAACTTTTGAAGACAGGTTAATGTTGAAGTGCATTTATATATATAGTTTTGAAAGTGTGGTCTTGACATTAAAAAAAAAGAAAAGAAAATTTTCTAGACAAATATTAATACATGTGAGAGGTATTTTTCTGAGAAATCTTTCTTTTCATAACATTGATAATGACGTCAATCGAGTAACTATCAT